TTTGCAGAGAAGGGGTATTGTAATAAGGGTTTTTCATCAGACTTGTTGAGAGCAACGATATCACCAATTCCAAAACCAGGAAAGGACCCTAGTTATATAAATTATTATCGCCCGATCTCATTAATAAACCAAGATATAAATATCTTTTCTAAATTTTTGGCTGATAGACATAGCATGGTTATTTCTGATTTAATTCATATAGACCAAACAGTATTTATAAGATCGAGATCAGCCGGCGATAACATTCAAAAGATCCTATACCTAATAAAAGAAGTTATTAGAAATCATATACCTTCCGCTTTTATTGCTGTCAACGCTGAAAAGGCTTTCGACAGAGTAAATTGGACATTTTTGTCAGCAACCCTATCTGCCTTTGGTATAGAGGAAAAACTTAAAGACCTAACACTATCACTTTATTCTACTCCCTTAGCTAAAGTAAATGGCAACAACCTAAATTCTACTTGTTTTTTTATTGGGAATGGCACTCGACAAGGCTGTCCGTTAGCACCCTTCCTATATATCTTATCCATTAAGTCTCTTGCAGCTTATATCAGATTATCATGTTATATGTCAGGTGTTGTTTTAGCAAGCCAAAAACAGAAAATGACGTTATTTGCTGATGACGTAATTTTGACCTTGACTAATCCAGCAATAATGAGTTGTATAGAGGAATTTAGTTACCTCTCTAACTATAAAATCAATATTAATAATAAGTTATTCATAACAATCTCACACATTCATAGGTTGAACCTTTATAAAAAAAACTCTAGATTTAACTGGTTTAATAATTCCATCTTATATCTCTGGAATTAAGATAAATTTTAACATTAGTTCTTGGATCCAGGAAAACTATAATGAACTGCTTCAAGTGCTTAAAGAGTTGACAGATAAATGGAGTAAAATACACCTTCCTGGCTTGGGAGGATAAATACTCTTAGATCTTATTTACTCCCCAAGTTATAATATTTCTCCCGGATAATACCTCTTAAAATCCCCAGATTAATGTGGAGATCATTTCATAGATTATTTGTATCATACGTTTGGGGGAGTAAAAAAATCTAGAATTGCCCTTGAAATAATGACAACTAGAATATCAGAGGGGAGTTTATCCTTTCCAAACAATTTTCTTATTCATGACACTGTTATGTTTTCACATTTTCTTGATTGGGGAATCAATTATTCTTTTATGATACCTTGGTATACAAATGAAAGAAAGATGTGTGTAAAATTTGATCCTTTCCATCTTTTTTGGATAGATAAAAACATCTTGAGAAATTAGAAGATTGACAACTTAGCCATTAATCAAGTCTTCTACTCTGTAGAGCCAATAAAGGCGTTTTTTGTTTTTTTTCCACAGACAAGCAACTTTCTAAGCATACCCCACTGAAAGCTTTGAAATTATTTATCCATGATTTGAATCTGATAGGTTGGTCAGACACAGGATTAGTGAGAATAAAATATATATACTATGCTGGTAAAATCTGTAAGTTTGTAGATCTACAAATAAGATCAAATCTTGATAATAAAGAACTATATACATGTATTAAGGGTTTTGCCTGTAGTCATCGAGAGGCTGACACCTCACCACAGCGTTCGGTGGCCATGAAATCCCCTTGCGCCAACGCATAGATAGAGCCTTTCAAGCCCCTTGGCATATAGCAGGGCCTCACCAACCAAGTTTAATCGTTTCGCCTCTTGGCATTAGCTAGTAAGCCAGTACATTATAAGGGTATGCACTAATTACTTTATTATTCAAACATATCTCAATGCCAGGAAAATGGAAAGATCTGTCCCTGCCCAGCACTCCTGCTAGGTCTGATACACCTTCATGCAAAGGGGGCATAGCTAGTCCTACTTTTATTAGATTTTGGACTATCTCTCGCATCACAGCAGCATGGTTAAATGGCACATATGATACCAACAGCTAGATAATCAAATTACCCAATAACAATATATACATAAATATATAAATATATATATATTGTGAGCGTAAAGGTGGAATAGTGGTTGATGGGAGATACATCAGACCTGATTTGCTAAACAGCAACCAGAGGATTTTTCAGTTAAATGCCCCAGGGAGAGATGTTAGAGTTTGCAATATGCATAGCTGATGCTCTGCAAAACCTGGTATGGGTCCCTGGGGCGGAGTATTTGGAGAGCAGGGTGGGCCAATGCTCCAACAGCACTAGTTGCTGTGTAACAGACCACTATTTGGATCTGACTTACGAGTTAGTTAATTGGCACTCACCTGTAGCCAGTCAATTAGTAGACAGGCCTTTAAAAGAAGAGGGCAGCCTGCTGCAGTGTGAGGGAGGAAAAGCCAGCTAGGAGAGTGAAAGACAAGTGTGGTTATTGCAAAGACATTTCTTTTGTTTGGAAAATTGGTAAGTGGGAAAGCCACCCAATTGCAGATAGCAATTACTGTCTAGTAAGAGCTCAAGTAAGAGCAAGGGATTTTGTTTGTTTTTGTTATTATTTAAAGAACCTGTTTTCTTACTGAATAAAAAGAAAAACTGAGCTGAAGGTGTCCTGGACTTTGTATACCCTAGAAGGCTGTGGTTACAGCAAGATCGGTGACAATCCTACCTGTAAAAGAGGTGGTTTGTTACAATATATACAAATATATACAAATGTACTGCTAAACTCAAGGGAAGCATCTGCTTAGAATTAGAATTGTGCCTAGAATTGGAAACCTGTTCTGTAGTTTATCATTCTAAAAAACAGGTTTAAAACGTTCACTCCTCCTCGTACTCATGGAAGCCACTATGGCTGGCCAACCACAGCTTATTTAACTCTTTCAACAAACTACTACGAAATTCAATTTGGCTCCCCTACATAGCAGGTGTCACAACTGACTATATTAATTTAGGTCATGCTCATACTTAGGTTGATACATAGGGTTAAGAAATACAATATTAACCTGTACATACATTCACTGTACATACATCATGCGTAGCCCTCATGGGGCTCATCTGCTAAAGCAGGTTACTTTGGTTTAGGTATCCTAATTAGTGGTTGGTGGTGGTTGGCTTCCTATTCCCTTGTTAGCTCAATTACAATTCTACTGAACTTATCTGTCCATGTTTATGGTCTATGTAAATACTGTTCCTCATATATTTTTGTTGATACTGTGATCTTTGTCTGCAGGTAGCACAGTCCTCTTGGGCCCAAACATGCACAGTCTTTTAAGGCAACTTATTTCCAGTCACTTTATTGTTAAACTCCACAAAGACAGCAGCACATGAAAAACAAAAATGTAACAAAATCCTATAAACAAAAAGCTAGCTCGGTCTGAGCACTAACTGACATCAAGTTCCCTCTCTCTCAAAGGTTTAATCTATAACAAAAAAAGTGGTTTCACCAACCTAGCGTCTTTTTCAGCTCTCAGCACTCCAGTGTTTCTGACAGCCTGCTGCTTCCCTTTCTACACTCCCAGTGCTCCAAGCCAGCCTTGACTGCTTTCCTTTTGCACTCCCAGTGCTCCAAGCCAGCCTTGACTGCTTCCCTTTTTCACTCCCAGTGCTCAGTCTCCTTGACTCTCTTACTGGAGAGAACAGCCTCACTCCTACCTGCTTCCAGGGAGGAAGCCAGCAATCCCTCTTCACCTGGCTAGCAGGGAGGGGTTTATTCCCACTGCTACAGCCAGGGATGTATTTACCACAAGGCAAACAAGGCATTTGCCTAGGGCGGCACTTTCAGGGGGGGCGCCAAAAAATGCCACCCCAAGCTCCCAGACAAATGCCTTATTTGCCTCATGTTCTGGGGCTGTCCACCTTACTGTGAGCGAGTGAGTAAGTGAGTGAGTTAGTGAGTTTAGCTGTCAGTGTGTGTCTGTGAGTGAGTGAAAGTGTGTCTTTCAGTGAGAATGGGTGTGCCTGTGAGTGTGTGTCAGTGTGTGCATGTAATTTTATGTGTATCTGAGAGTGTGTGCCTGTCAGTGTGTGTCTGTCATTGAAAGTGTGTGTTGGTTAGTGTGTGCCAATGACTGTATGTGTGTGCCAATGACTGTATCTGTCAGTGAGTGTATATCAGTGCATGTATCAATGAGGGCATGTGTCTGTCAGTCAAAAAAGTGGCCTTGACATGAATTGGAGGGGCAAATTTAGATTTTGGGGGTGCCCGAATTTAGTCATGCCTAGGGTAGCACAAATCCAAAATACACCACTGGCTACAGCTGATTATCTGCAGCTGAGCAGTGGGTTGGAGACAGCTCCAAAAAACTCTGGCCTGGACATTATTTCCCCCAGTTGTGTATAAACTGAGGAGTGGAGCATTGGCCCACCCTGCTCTCCAAATGCTCCACCCCAGGGGCCCATAACTAAACGGTGGATTGTGTTGCCTACAACACATACTACACATACTCATCCTGGGGTTAAATATTATAGGCCTATCTGCATTCACTTTATCACAATACTGATCCTAGTTACTTACAGTTTTTGGTCATACAATATTGCTACTATTCCAATTCTCAACCTATTCTACTCTGTCAGTATATCTATACTGGCAGACATTTTGTGTTAAGATGGAAATTAAAAGTGTATACTGTAAGTCACCATCAGAACAGATGTGACTCCATTTTGGATTACAATGCAAAGACAGACACAAATCTTTCTCTCCGTAACTCTATTCATTCAAGCCTGAGCTAAGGAATGCGACTTATGTAAACATTTGGCAGAGATAAGGCATGATGGCTACAGCAGGTGGGGGTTGAATGCAACAACCCAGAGACAAATATAATATATTGCAAATATAATATATATATATATACCCTGTTCCAAATGATTATGCAAATGATATTTTTCTCATTTACCTAAATAATTGATATAAATAACAGTCAGCATAATTCTCATGTTATCAACTATTAAGAGTACAATTCAAATTTTATTGAACAAACCTCCTAATGATAACAGTATTTTTTTTAAACATAAAAAACTTACAATGCACTGTTACAAATTATTACGCACAGTAAGTTTCAAAACACTTTATAGGTTGTAAAGAACTGAAAATTGTCATTTGTTGTGTTTGCAGCATATTTACTGAAATCGAAAGCTATTTCAATCAAACTTATAACAACATTTTAACTTTTTAAACATTTTAACAGGTCACGTTACATTTTAACATAGGACCCCTTATTTGATAGCAGATTCACAGGTCTTGCATCCATTGAACTTGTGAGTTTTTAGACAGTTTCTGCTTGAATGTCGGAATAGCCTCCCAGAGCTGCTGTTTGGATATAAACTGCCTCCCACCCTCATAGATCTTTTGCTTGAGGATGCTCCAAAGGTTCTCAATAGGATTGAGATCAGTGGAGGATGAATGGCCACACCATGACTTTCTCTCCTTTTATCCCCATAGCAGCCATTGATGCAGAGGTATTCTTTGCAGCATGAGATGGTGCATTGTCATGCATAAAGATGATTTTATTACGGAAAGCATAGTTCTTCCTTCTGTACCAGGGAAGTAAGTGGTCAGTCAGAAACTCCACATACTTTGCAGAGGTCATCTTTACACCTTTGGGGACCCTAAATGGGCCGACCAGCTCTCTTCCCATGATTCCGGCCCAAAACATGACTCCACCACCGCCTTGCTGACGTCGCAGCCTTGTTGGAACAGGGTGGCCGTCCACCAACCATCCACTACTCCATCCATCTGGACCATCCAGGGTTGCACTGCACTCATCACTGAACAGGACTGTTTGAAAATTAGTCTGCATGTATTTTTCTGCCCAATGCAGCCATTTCTGCTTGTGAGCATTGGTTAGTGGTGGCCGAATAGAAGGTTTATGCACAGTTGTAAGACTCTGGAGGACTCTACACCTTGATGCTTCAAATATCTGTTTGCTGCTATGTAATGGTATTTTAGCAGCTGCTCTCTTAATCCGATGCATGGATCTGGCAGAAATCTTCCTTAATGTTCCTTTATCTACACGACCCCTTCTGTGCTCTGAAATAGGCACAAATCTCTTAATAGTGCGATGATCACGCTTAAGTTTTCGTGAAATATCTAATGTTTTCATACCTTGTCCAAGGCATTGAACTATTTCACTCTTTTCGGCAGCAGAGAGATCCTTTTTCTTCTCCATATTGCATGAAAATGGTGCTCTGCTTAATAATGTGGGACACCCTCCTTTAGTAGTTTTTCCTTAAATTGGGCTCACCTGGCAATATAATTGTGACGAGACCAATCTCGCCACATTGCATTGGAGAAGCCTGGTTGCTCGCCTGCTGCCTTTGGACTATGGCCCCTTTGTAAAAGACTTTATTTTTGCATGCAGAAAAGCTGTATTCGTGCTTTTCTGCCGGTTGTTCGGTAGTTTCAATCTACCGAACAACCGTACGAATGACTGGACCACCTGGGAGCTGGAGTGTGCCGGCAATTAACCTCCCTGAAGCTGCGGTTAACCGCAGCTTAATTGATGAACGCTGGGTGGCCGCCGTTCGTATCCCGAACACGAGGTCGCTGCCATTTTAAACCATACGAATGAACAGCGGTGTTCGCCTCTATTTTCATGGAACTAAAATCGGACACAGTTTTGCGCGAACACCGCTGAAGCCGCCGACCTCCCTTCTTGTTCGGTGAAAGCACACGAATGACCCGGTGTTCGGTATTTTTGTGTGAATGTCTTATACCCCAGATAGGAATCCCATGGAGCCCATTCGTATGAAACTGACTGTAAAGACTTTGGCTCCATGGCGATTGAACTGTATTCGTGTAGTCTGAGTGCCATTCACCTAATAATGTGCACTCAGACCTGAGCTATCTGGGGATGTGTTACATGTCGGTGTTTTATGTAGTAAACGTTACTTTGTGCATTTTAAAGTGTTATGCTGGTTTTGTGTTCCCACGTGTGTAATGGAGTTTTGCCTTTGTCTTGGGAGATAATTGAATTACTTCCCAGTTATCTCCCAGGGCAGAGGGGAGGAAGCCAGGATGCATTGTGGGAATATACTGTGACTGTGTGTCCTTTTTGTATACTTGTCTGTCCCTTGTCACAGTCTTCCATCTGGTCCCCTAGGGGAGTGTCCACCAGGTGGGAGACCTGCATAAAAGCTGGGCAGGTAGCCCTCATTAAACAGACCACTGCTTGACCCTCAACACGGAGCCTTGTCTCGTTCTTGGGGGGATTCACTGTATGCTGTTAGAGACTGATTGCCAGGAGTGTAAGCTGTTCGTCTGCTTTTCCTGTTCGCCTACTAGCAGCTATTCGTATGGTTCCTGTTCGCTTATTTGAAGTGCTACCTTATTCCCTTGTATGCCGTTCGGGAGTTTGGAGCATTCACTTATTGGCGGTTCGTGAGTTTTGGTGATTCTACAGTAGCTGTGCCTGTCTCTGAAAGGGGGATTATCGTCTAAGCGGTTTTTTCCCCTTTTATGCTAAACGGTCCGTTACAATTGGTGGCAGCGGTGGGATCGTTCCTACAACCAGAAGGACAGCTACAGGAGACACCATTTCTTGGGATTTTACAATTTGAGGGCAACGCATGTCCCAGTACAGCGACCCTGACAGCACCAGCATGGAACCAGCAGTGGAGTATGACGAGGGTGCCATGGATGACCGAGATGCAGTCCGTAAAGGCATCTGGTACCAGGCACTGGGTATTGTGGAGTACCAGCGGGGCAAGAGACTCCCCAAGGAAGACCAGCGGTTGCAGAAGCGAGTAGCCCTGCGGATGCCCTTCCTGGGAGAGCAGCCCCTAGAGGAATGGGTGAGGAAATTGGAACACCTAGTATGGCAGGAGTTGTGGCTAGAAGATGCCTACCAGGCGCTCTGGTGGTATGGGGCACAGTACCTACCCTGGACAGCCGAGCATGACAAGCCAGAGGGAGAGGAGTTTGATGGTCCTGGCTTGTTATGGGAGTCGTTTTCAGAGCTCGAATTTGGGAGCCCTACACAAGCCCGGTTCAGCGATCTCTGGGAGTGGAGGGAGAGCAGGTATGACTGGGTCGACGCTCACAAAATTGAGCAAGACCTGGTCCACCTGGTAACCCGGGAGATGGAGCTAGAACAGGGCTACCAGCAGCTGTTTCAATACAGCGAGAAGGCTCAGCAGGAGAGCAGCGTGACAGAGCCAGAACCAGACCCATTCAGCTGGGAAGACATTGTGGATATTTTCTGGGAAGAACCCCAGGTGGCCGGTAGAGATGGGACCGAGGTCTCTCCACCGGTAGTGCAGGGAATTGGGAGCCCGAGCTCCATTCCCCAGCGGGAGATATTGCAGGGAATTGGGAGCCTGAGCTCCATTCCCCAGCGGCAGGCTGAGTTACAGGGGGCAGAGGTAGTTGTTCCTGCCCCCCAGCAGCAGAATGAATTGCAGGGAATTGGGAGCCCGAGCTCCATTCCCCAGCGGGAGATATTGCAGGGAATTGGGAGCCTGAGCTCCATTCCCCAGCGGCAGGCTGAGTTACAGGGGGCAGAGGTAGTTGTTCCTGCCCCCCAGCATCAGAATGAATTGCAGGGAATTGGGAGCCCGAGCTCCATTCCCCAGCGGGAGATATTGCAGGGAATTGGGAGCCCAGTCTCCATTCCCCAGCGGCAGCGTGATGTTTTGGGAATTGGGAGCCCAGTCTCCATTCCCCAGCGGCAGAATGATGCTTTGGGAATTGGGAGCCCAGTCTCCATTCCCCAGCGGCAGAGTGTCCTACCGGGAATAGAGAGCCCAGTCTCCTTTCCCCAGCAGCAGGACTCTGTATTGGGTGCGGAGACAGTCGGTCTCCCTCCCCCGCAGCTGGAAGTATGTATGGGAGAGGAGCTGGTTACCCCCTCTCCCCAGCGGCAGCTTAATGTACAAAGGGGAGACAGTAAGCCCCACAACGGTGCAGATGGGACCGTAGTCTCTACACTGCCAGCACAGGGGGTAGGGACGGTCGGTCCTGCCCCCAGCGACAGGGCTGTTTAGCCAAAGGGGAGACAGTCGGTCTCCCCCTCCAGCAGCAGAGATGGGTAACCAAAGGGGAGACGGTCGGTCTCCAGCAGCAGGACTGTGCATCTAAAGGGGAGACAGTCAGTCTCCAGCAGCAGCAGCAGAGCTGTGTATTTAAAGGGGAGACAGTCGGTCTCCCCCTCCAACAACCAGGCTTCCACCAGGCTACCCTCCCAGTAGCGCTGGCAACAGGGCAGAGTGCCGCTGGTCTCTGCCCACGCAGCAACCCACCAAGTCAGCGTACCCGTACCCAGCACAGCCGTGGTGAGGCACCTGGACATGGACAAGCTTCCCCTTTACCCAGGTGTAGTGACCATTTATTGTGGGTGGGCTGTGCTGTGGATTATTTGTTGTGGGTGGGCTGCTGGACTAACAAGGGCACTGACCGGCAGGAGGTCAGATACCCTGTTAGTCTGTTTGGAAAAGGGGAGAGATGTGACGAGACCAATCTCGCCACATTGCATTGGAGAAGCCTGGTTGCTCGCCTGCTGCCTTTGGACTATGGCCCCTTTTTAAAAGACTTTATTTTTGCATGCAGAAAAGCTGTATTCGTGCTTTTCTGCCGGTTGTTCGGTAGTTTCAATCTACCGAACAACCGTACGAATGACTGGACCACCTGGGAGCTGGAGTGTGCCGGCAATTAACCTCCCTGAAGCTGCGGTTAACCGCAGCTTAATTGATGAACGCTGGGTGGCCGCCGTTCGTATCCCGAACACGAGGTCGCGGCCATTTTAAACCATACGAATGAACAGCGGTGTTCGCCTCTATTTTCATGGAACTAAAATCGGACACAGTTTTGCGCGAACACCGCTGAAGCCGCCGACCTCCCTTCTTGTTCGGTGAAAGCACACGAATGACCCGGTGTTCGGTATTTTTGTGTGAATGTCTTATACCCCAGATAGGAATCCCATGGAGCCCATTCGTATGAAACTGACTGTAAAGACTTTGGCTCCATGGCGATTGAACTGTATTCGTGTAGTCTGAGTGCCATTCACCTAATAATGTGCACTCAGACCTGAGCTATCTGGGGATGTGTTACATGTCGGTGTTTTATGTAGTAAACGTTACTTTGTGCATTTTAAAGTGTTATGCTGGTTTTGTGTTCCCACGTGTGTAATGGAGTTTTGCCTTTGTCTTGGGAGATAATTGAATTACTTCCCAGTTATCTCCCAGGGCAGAGGGGAGGAAGCCAGGATGCATTGTGGGAATATACTGTGACTGTGTGTCCTTTTTGTATACTTGTCTGTCCCTTGTCACAGTCTCCCATTTGGTCCCCTAGGGGAGTGTCCACCAGGTGGGAGACCTGCATAAAAGCTGGGCAGGTAGCCCTCATTAAACAGACCACTGCTTGACCCTCAACACGGAGCCTTGTCTCGTCTTTGGGGGGATTTACTGTATGCTGCTAAGGACTGATTGCCAGGAGTGTAAGCCACTTGGGAGCTTTTCCTGTTCGTCTGGTAGCAGCTATTCGTATGGTTCCTGTTCGTTTATTTGAAGTGCTACCCTATTCCCTGGTATGCCGTTCGGGAGTTTGGAGCATTCACTTATTGGCGGTTCGTGAGTTTTGGTGATTATTCAGTAGCTGTGCCTGTCTCTGAAAAGGGGGATTATCGTCTAAGTGGTTTTTTTCCCCTTTTATGCTAAACGGTCCGTTACAATAATTATCACAGGTGTCCGAGATTGTTTTCAGTGATCAAAAGAGCCCTGAGACACAATGCCATCCATGAGTTAAACTGAAAAACAAAATATTTAATCTTTGTGACATTTAAACAGAATTTGCATAATAATTTGCAACATGGTGCATATATATTTAACTTTTCACATATATATATACACACACACTATCCACATATAAGTTACTATTATTATATTAATCATATAAAATTAGTACTATGTTAATAATATGGCATATTCATGGATATAATATCAATGAACAAATGTCATATTATTTACTAACATTAGTGGAATATGTGTAATAGACATATATAAATAATATTACTACAGTTTCACACAAGAAAACCAGACACCAATGACAGATAACACTAAGTAATTCATTTTACTTTCTAAAAAACATCTTATAAAGTTCCATTGCAAGGAAGGGTGAAATTAAGGTTAGGACGTGTCAGGAATCTAACGTATAGCCAAAATTGCAGATGCTCTAACTGGAAAAATCAAAGAAAATGCTTTGAAGTCTGATAGGTTTGATGGACGGTTATCCATAAAATATAACCAAGATGACATTAAATGCATCACGAAATTCAGTTAACCCATTATACAAAAAGGTAAATGGACCCCCTGACAAGAATTTTCGGTGATGTAATTGCACCATCTACTGACCAAAATCTAGATGATAGTCTATAGGAAAGACACGTCCACAGTTCTCTATTGGTCCTATCAACTAGTGATGTATGGAGAACTTCTTTAAAAATTAAGGACAAAGGAGAGATAGGACACTCTTAGACTCTCACACTCAGACTCAGATATATTCTCACTTTGAGAATGGACTCACATCTAACAGCTAAGATCTGACATCTGGAGCCAAAGCTGGACACACCTAATTATTTGTATCTTTTCCAACTAACACAACTTCAGAACTCTGAAAACTTTTCTATTTTCAAACAATTCTCTCATCATACTTGCATTCAAAATTCCTGGGACATATCTACACATCTGATAGAAATTCTACAACATAACTGGTAATTATGCTGGTGTAGAATATTGCATATTCTATGTTTCTATTGATTATATATATGGATGTGTGGATTGACATAAGTAACAGATGGTATCAATAAGTCACAAGGCTTTCTTTGTCCGAGAGCTCTGGAATGTGGATTCGGGGGTCTTGTCCTTATATGGCTAGAGTTAAATGCTGACGTTAGTATTAGCACATCTTTATAGTAACAGAGGGACACAAGGTCGCTCTTGCTTGGCTCGTGACTCTTGGCTCTGGCTCTCTCTCTCTAGATGTAAAGATCTAAGGATGCAAAAGAAGTCCACCAATTACCATCTGCTGTTGAATGTCCATTATCCTGTAACATCATTTATTATGTTTTATTATGTATCCGTAACAAAGAATAAACCTGAAGAAACCGTAAGTCAGATTGCGTATTACTACTTTTCCATAATATAGACATATATTATTGTGGCGAGCATTTGGCCCAAGACTATATATACAAAACACGTATATATATCAATCAACTGAAGATAAGAAGAAATTAAGAGGATTCTACATTAACCCCGTTACAAATTACATTTTACAGCTGGTTTTTATTTAATTTAATTAAAATAATTCATTTTTACTAATAGCAGGAATATATCTGGATAAATGTTGGTCAGATATCAATTATTAGAAAACATTATTAGCCATGGAATATATGGTTATAAAAATTCCATTCCTGCTGATGGAATAAAGATAACAAAATATTAATGGTAAATTTGCCAAATGTTAGCATACCAAGCTTTTATCAAGAGGTATTGACTTGTTCTGAAATTAAGGATAGTGAATCTTAATTAGGGAAGTTAAAATTCTGCAAACATAAAATCTGGTTAGAATTATTCTTATTGGATGGACATAGGAATGGTAAATGATTTGGTATGAGAAATATTTTATTTGTAAAATTGTAATATAATAGGATATCTTGCCTATGAGAATTGTAGCCAGCAGTGAAAGAGTTAATTCAGTGTGATTTGACTGTCAGCCAAAGCTTTTATTGCTTTACGCTGTGCTGCTGTGAAATGCTGTGTTCTGTGTTACGTTGATTTCAAAGTGAAGTGTCCTGTTGTCAGTCTTGTTGAAAACTGCATACTTGTCGCTATAACTGCTGCTATTCAGCTGTCGATATTGTGTTAAACCACTGCCATATTGTATACTTATGTTATACCTAAATATTCACTGATATTACCACGCATGTTACATATTATTATTATTATTATTGTCACAATAAATTATTTTTTTATAATTAACTTGTGATTAATATGTGAGATAAAATCTTCTAATGAAACTTACTCCAGAATCTATGAGAATTAAAATAGTGGGTAATTCTCCGCTTTAAATCATGAATCAGGGAAACAGTGCCAAGATATACATTTTTGATATAATTAAAATTAGTAAATACATTTTTGAAAATTTTTATGAAAATATCATTTTTAATATTTATCACCCCATAAATATCTTCACAACTCGCAATTTTTAATCTATGTCTCAATACTGATAGGTTAACTTCACGTTATATGCTGTTCATCATATTTATGCCACCTGGTTTATCCTAATTGCTTATACATCTTGTTTTACAGCATTCCCCCAGTCAGGTACTGTATTAAACCCTCAATTGTTTGCAAGATTTATATTGGTTAGTCTCTTAGATGTTTATAACAATTACCTTAGTCAGCGTATGACTCCCGTGTATGGCAGATTCCAGATTATCAATGTTATAAGATATTTCGTGTTGGACCCTTAGTGGTCACCTAGTGATTGCTGTCACCTAAGTCTCTCCACTCATTACGAATATCAGGTCACAGGTAAGTGTTCCTTTATTGCCTTTATTATGCCTAGTTAGTTGCCTTTATTATGCCTAGTTAGTTCAGTTGCCCAGGTATCACTGGGCCTTCCTGTTTATGTATTCTCTGGCCAAGTATTAGTACAGTATATTAACAGCACATTTGCCATGATTTCTTTACTACGGTTTGCTTTTTGCCACCTTAAACTTAATTATCACACAAATCTTTAAATATATCTCATTCATGAGTTATGTCAGAACATTAATCAAGAAGACCAGGCCTTAACCCTTCCATTATTCTGGTCACTCAAGCAGGTTTCTACCAGTACACATAATTAAACATTAGTTCACTGGAAGTCCTCAGCCTATTCAAGGTACATTCCACAACCAGCATTGGAACTCCATCAAGCATTATCATTTAACCATGTGTATAAGTATGTATGTTGATTGTTGACTGTATTAACGATTTTACTGTATTTCTCCTTTTTGCCCTCTTTATTTTACAGGCCTACCAGCATCATCTGTTCCAGCACACCTCACCGACTTTTTCCATTCTGTATTACGCTATTCTATCTATACAGTGGCGTACACATGACCCATTGGGCCCCGGTGCGAAAATTGATCTGTGGGCCCCCCCTCCCCCACGCGCTTACTCGGCGCAGGTCGGGGCCGCAACACATGGCGGCGGGCACCTGGTCGCAGGGGTTGCAGGGCTGCGACCCCGCAACCGCGGTATGCACACACACTTAAAGGACCACTACAGACACCCAGATCACATCAGCTCAATGAAGTGGTCTGGGTGCCAGGTCCCTCTAGTTTTAACCCTGCAGCTGAAAACATAGCAGTGAAAACGGCTATGTTTCACTGAGGGTTAATCCAGCCTCTGGTGGCTGTCTCATTGACAGCTGCTAGAGGAGCTTCCGCGATTTTCACTGTGAAAATCACAGTGAGAAGACACTGAACGTCCATAGGAAAGCATTGCGTAATGCTTTCCTATGGGCGGTTTAAATGCGCGCGCGCGCCTCTTGCCACGCATTTGCATTCGGAGCTGAGAGGCGGACACTGGGGAGTCCGACGCTGGAGAAAGGTAAATGCTGAAGAGACACACACACACACTCTCACGAACAGACGCATACACACTCACAAAACATACACTTTCACTGACAAACACACACTCACTAACAGACAAACACACTCAGTAACAGACACACACAGTAACACACTCACTAGCAGACACACACCCAATAACAGACACACTCACTGACACACACACTAACACACGCACTAACACAAACACTAATACACACACTAACACAAACACACATACACTAACACACACATACACTAACACACACACACACATACACTAACACACACACACTCATACACTAACACACATACACTAACACACATACACACACACTAACACACATACACACACACTAACACACACATACTAAGACCCACATACACTAACACACACATACTAACACACACACACATACTAACACACACACACACTAACACATTTTTTAAATTTAATCCCCCCAGCCTCCTTACCTATTGGAGTGCTGGGGGGATTCCCTGGGGTCCAGTGGTGCTGCTGGGCTCCTGGGTGGGCGGGCTGTCTGGGCGGGCGGCCGGCGCGCGAGGGAGTACTTTCCCCTGAGTGCTTCCTCTTCAGCTCCCTCGCGCGCCGCGTAGGGATGCCGGCGCCGGAAGATGACGTCATCTTCCGGCTCCGGTATCAGTGTGGTGCGCGAGGGAGCTGAAGAGGAAGCACTGAGTGCTCCCTCGCGCGCCCGCCTGCCCGACTGGCCATCCACCAGCTGGGGTCAGCAGGGCCAGCCTCGGGGGGCCCTGGGGTGGCCGCCTCCTGGGCCCCCCAGGAGAAGAGGCTGGCCCTTTGGCTACATACCGGGTCGCAGGGGCGGCCGGGCCCCCTGGTGGGCTGGGCCCGGTCGCAGCCGCGACCCCTGCGACCCTAGTATGTACGCCACTGTATCTATATTTCTCTCTGTCACTCTATACGGCATTTTGGAAACACAAGTATTAAGGCTTCGGCCAGTAATTGTGGGATGGACATGCTTTCCCTACTTAAAGGGACTCCTTACCTTGTTCCACTCCGTTCTTGGTCTAGCGATTTGCATGTCCCTCTCACCACTCAATCATAATATCTTTTTCTTCTCCTTTTTAAAAAAAAAAATTCTTTATTTTTCGTTGTGCAAGAGTTAACTATGCCACAACGGCGTATGTAAGCACAGTGATAATACAGTGATAATACAGTTGTACATTTGTACATTTATGTGGCATGAATGTCATGGCACATTTTTTAGGTGTAGTTTTAGTCAGGCTTGATATACATGACGAATTGTAGGTTTCAACAATATAAACAAGCGAAGTGAGAGGCTTAATCTGCATGAGGTGGTGATTAGTGCGCTATGTGTAGTTAAAGGCCCAGGCTATGGACATTAGTTTGTTTTGCGAGATCAGCAATGGCGTTAGTTGGTGTATAGTTAGTCTTAAGGAGGTAGGAGGCAAACGTTTAGCTATGGTGAGCATAGTACTGCAGTGTGCAGTCAGACAGGAGTCTGGGTCGTAGCATAGTGTGCAGCTCACTATATGTGTAATCCAGTCAGTATGTTACAACATATAGGCATAGGTATGGTATGAGTGGTGATAGTGCTGCTCATTGTGTTTATATTAGCATTTCTTGTGGTACAGTAACCTATTCCTCAGTTTGTTATGTTATGTAGCACGAAGATGGGAGGCAAAGAGCATGCATAAAGAAGTACAGTAGGTATTATGAAAGAGGTATACTTGTGTCTGCTGGATAAAACAAAAGCTTGCATCACATAGAAAAATAAAAAATAAGAGGCAGGATAGCCTCCGTTTTGTGTGTAGATTGTATGCCATATCCCCTGTTTTTCAGTGGGTAAGGTAAATGGCCATTATGTCCTTGTGGGTAAGACATTTTTAACGTATGCCCACCAGAGGGTATACAGTGTCCCGTAGCCAGGATGAGTGCTGCAGGCTGCCCCAGCTTACTAGGGGTCAGCAGGTGGTGGCTGTCGCTGGTGGGGGTTCCCTTGGTACCTCAGGTGAAGCATGCTCTCTGGCGTGGTGCTGCCGCTGTCTTGGCTGTCTCGTTTTGGGGTTTGTGGGAATATTTATGGGATGATAATATTATACAGTTGAGAATTGCCCACTATTTCAATTCTTTTAGATCTTAGAGATCGTTATCATGTAGGTGAAATGTATTCCATACAAATAAAATCACAATTTGCTATAAAAATAGATATAATTTATTGTGACAAATAAAATAATAATAATATTAGGCAGCATGCATGATAATAATCAGTGAATATTTAGTATAACGTCGTATACAATGGCAATGGCTAAACACAGTACAAAGCTACAGCATCAACTGACTTACAAGACTTACAAGATTTATGAGGGTACTTCACAGACACAGAAAGCTAAACTTCACACAGCGAAAAGCCATAAAACCTTGGCTAACAGTCAAATCAACTGAGTAACCCTTTCAATGCTGGTTAGATCCGCCTAGGCATATAATATCCTATTCTCATGTAATTTTCAATTAAAATAACATTCAAACCAGCTCATTAATCATTTCCTGGAACCATCCAAAAGAGTCAAATCTACAGATTCTATAAGCCGAATTTTAATTTGCCTAAAAAGATATCTTATCTTATTTCAGAGCAAATCAACACACATGGATAAAAACAGCGGTATGCTAACACGTGGTAAGATACCAGTACTATGTAATTATCTGACTCCACCTGCAGAATGGAGTGTTATAACTACATATTCTTTATTTAATTAAGATTCCTCAATTATGGGATCTGATCAGGATTTATCCATGCATGTATCCTGCTATTAATAGATTTTAATTAATTTAGGTTAATTAAATAAAACCAGCATAATTACCAGATGAGTAGGTAGTTCCAGGAACTTGAATGCGAGTATGATTAGTTGTATGGAGGTGTGTAAGTAATAGAGAAAAGTGATGTTGGTTAGAAAATAATAGTTACATTCTAAGTGTTAAGGAGTGTTTCTTGAGTTGTGTCCAAGAGAGTTTGAGAGTTGAGTGTTAGTCCCAGAGTGTCCTGAATATCTGTCCTGGATCTCTCTGAATTTTAATCTGAAAGCCCAAACTACCCTCTCCCTTCCCTTAGTCCTAACTTTTAAAGGGCCAGACTCTCTGTACGTCATTAGTTGATAAGGCCAATAGGAAACTGTAGGTGTGTCTACGTTATCTAGTATTATCTAGTTTTTGGTCAATCGAGGGCGCAATTGCCTCATCAAAATTTTCTGTCCTCGAAAGAGTTAACTTATTTTGATGACGATTCTGATGTCATTTGGCTTACCTAAAATGATCACCATAACTTAAATTTGCTGTCAGTTCAAAGCGTTTCTTTGGATTTTCTCCAGACGGCGCGTCGACAATTCCTGTTGTAATTTCTAAAATTGACAGTTCTAAACTCAATTTCACCCCTTACTTACAATGGGACCTTGTAAAATTTAGAAAGTAAAATAAATTACTGAGTCTTCTCTGTCACTAGTGTCTGTGTTTAAAATTATTTCTATCCCATTAACATTTAAACAGAGCATTCCATCCCCCTGCTTCATTGCTTATCACTTGGCTTGTTTACATAAGAAAGGAAAGAAATGTTGTGACTGTCTTGCCTGAAGATAGCAAAATGGAGTCCGCTTTGTTCTGAGTGACCATGGCAATATACACTTTTAATTTCTATCTTAGCACAAAATGTCTGCCGATATAAATATCCTGACAAGTTTATATTCTTAGCTCCATGCGGTCGAGTAACCCAGTAAGCAGGCGGGAGGTGTCGCTTTCCCGGCGCCGTTTGTCAGTGCTCTTCGGCTTGGGGGTTGTTTGCCGGTGTCGGGAGCTAGGTGATGGCACTTCAGGCAAGCTCACGTCATGCCGCGGGAGGCTGAACTTGTTTCATACTGCGTGCTACTTTCCTCCAGAAGGCCGCAAATGTGCGTTCTAGCCGTGCCAAGATATCGGGTTCTCCCTCACCATCGCTTGGTGTACACGTGGCGTCCGCCATTGTGTTCCGCTCTGACACTGCAGGTTGTCTGTGTGGGGTTGTCGCTTGCCCCCTGCATAGTCGGGCTTTCTCCTAGGATTGAACCGGGATTACCCCCACTGGTCCGGGGGGAGGGAGTATTGTGTCTTCTGAGCCGCTAGCGAGAGGACGGGAAGAGCGTCCGTCTCTCCCCAGTTCCAGCGCCCGCAGGCCACAATCAGTCATCTCGGGCTTCTTTGCACCGTTTCTCTCTCAAGAGATATCAGGAGGTTCGTTAGGCTTCGCTGAGCTCAAGTAAGGTAACCTCGTTGAGAAAAAAGGCTGAATTTGCGATTATTTAGCGATTAGTCGAGTTTGGCTGTGGGAGCCCAGCGAACACGCGTCTAGTCAGGAAGCTGGTCAGCTTCATCCCCCTTTAACCCATGGGTGGGCCTTCTTTATTTTACAGGCCTACCAGCATTGTCAGTTCCGGTACACCTCAACCAACTTTTTCATTCTATATTACGCTATTCCTATATTTCTCTCTATATGGCTTTTTTAACCCTAACACAAATATAAGATTTATCACGTAAAGTTTTAATAATTTATTTATTTAATAATTAAATATTTTACCAGGAAAGATACATTGAGATTTCTCTCGTTTTCAAGTATGACCTGGGTCCACAAAACCTTGCATTGATACAGTAGGGTACAATAAAATACAAAAACAATATTAATACACAATATATACAAAATTTATTTCAACTATGACAGGTGCGGAGGATTTGCAGACATTAGGCAGATCATTTATAAATAATGTAAATAGTAGGGGGCCGAGAATGAAACCTTGGGGAACACCACACGTGACTCAGAGAGGGAGGGAGTCGCTGTCAGAAATGGACACATATTGCGAGCGATCCAATACATAAGATCGAAACCAGGTTAGCGGACAATCACCAATACCTGAGTTTTTTTAGTTTGTGCAGTAGAATGTCGTGGTTTACTGTTTACTGGCCTTAGCAAAATCAAGGAAAATAGCTCTAGTTAGGTCTCCTTGTTCCATGCCAGTTTGGATGTCATTGCAAATTTTTAAGAGGGCGGTTGTAGTGGAGTGATTCTAGCAAAAAACAGATTGATCAGGGGTCAGATAGTTTGATTGTTGGTAATACTCATAGTTGCGTATGGACACATTTTTCTAAGAGTTTTGACAATACTGGGAGCAATGATATTGGGCGATGGTTAGAAACCAAAGTAATGTCAACACTTTTATGGATAGGCACTACTCTCGCAGTCTTCCAAAGTTTGGGTATGTATCGAGACACCAAGGATTCGTTAATTAGGGTTGTGACGGGTTTAACAATTGCCGGCGCACTGAGCTTCAACAGCATTGCTGGGATTTGATCAGGTCCAGACTGGTTTTTCATTTTTAGATTATTAAGATGTTTTTCAATGACACTAACAGGTACAGGTCTAAAAATGAACTTGTCTATATTGGGCCTTTGCAAATTTAGTGGGACCTGATCCACATTAGTAGTTTCAGGATGCGTGTCATTTATTAGCTTGGCAATCAGGGCAGTAAAGCATCCGACAAAATAATTGTTAAAGGCATTTGCTACAGCTAAGGGAAGTTGCAGGGTTTGGTTACCCACTTTGACAGTGGAGGGTTGGGAGTGGATTGGGGGCGTTTGTAGTTTATTTATGACTTTTCAAACGTTTCTAGGGTTTGAGATGTTACTGTTCAGATTTTCATAGAAATATTGGGCCTTGGCCAGTTTTGTCTGTTTTGTGCATATATTTCGCCATTGTCTATATGCACATTGATCATTCATAGAGCCAGTACACTTGAACTTTGACCACAAAGAATACCAAAACTGGTACATTTGGATGAGGTCAGCTGTGATCCAGTTCATATGTGCTCCTTTTACCCTCACCTTACGCAGCGGGGCATGCAAATTCCAAATTTGTAGGAGTTCAGACTGAAAGAATTCAACAGCACAGTCTAGATCTGGGATAATGTTTAATCTGTGCCATGGGAGGTTCTTGATGTCATTAAGAAAGGATTTAAGATTTAATAGCCTTTATTTCACGCACGCAGTACACTAAACAGTGATCACTGAAAGTGTTTGGGAGAACACCAACCTCCTGGATTCTATCAGGAGAAGTGGAGAGAATCCAATCGAGCAGGGTATTGTTATTGCTTTTAATGTTTATGAGAGTTGGGGAGGAGATTAATTGCGTTAGCTGCAAAGTCTTAAACAGCGAGCAAGAACTATTATTTTTAGAATTCAGCCAATCAATATTCAAATCTCCAAAGACCAACAGTTCACTTTTTGGGTTTTGAGCTATGGTTTCACAAAGGAGATGGGCTATGTCAGATAGGGAATGCACAGGGGAGCTAGGTGGGCGGTAGATTCCTGCAACAATGATTGATTTACTGCACAGGATCTCAATTGTGTCAGAAAGGAAATCAAAAGTGGTAGGTTTTGTAAGGGGGTAAACTTTATGGAATTGTCAACATAAATAACAATGCCTCCTCCTCTCTTTGCTCTGTCATTTCTAAAACATGAATAACCCTGTATTGCAATGGCGGTGTCTGGTATTTTAGTCGTTAACCATGATTCTGAGAGCACAATGATTTTTGGTTTGTAATGGGAACACCAGGCTTGCAGTGCATCCAGTTTAGGGAGTAAACTACGGATGTTGCAGTGCACAAAAGAGAGGCCTTTCTTAGTGGGGAGATTAGGACTAGAATTAGCTGGGGGACCAGGGTTAGACTCCACATCATTTGATAGGACAAGTAACATAAGGAATAGGAATTTGGACATCATTTTTGTTTGGCCCTATAGTGAATGGGATAATTTATAATTTTGTGAGGTGGGGGTAGGAGGGCTATTTTGTATAACTCTCCACCAGCACTTAGCAGATAAGTTACAGGAACAGAGCAGGCCATGGTGTATTATAATTTGTGTTCCAGTTTGAGGTGTGTGCTTATGGTGGTAGCGGTGTGAACAAAATTGGATTGAGAAAAGGGTTATTAAGAATATCAGTATGGTTATAATTGGATTCAAGTTAGTGGTATGAGGTGTGTGGTTGAAAATGAAACACAAATAGTGAAAAACTAAAATTAAATAAAAGTATATAATATTGGTGTGTGATATATCTATTTGAAGGGGGAGAGGGTATGTGTTCTATAGGGTTAAGAGATTGGAAGGGTGTGCTGATCAGTGTTTGCACCTGTCATTTCAGGAGATTGAAAGTTGTGTGGGAGACTATCTATAAATGAGGACATGGGCGAGGGGTAGGGTAGTCTTCCAGAAGGCTACCTGTTACAAATGGCCGTGGAACAGCTGATGGAGCTCTGAGTTCTATGCTGGACTGGGTATGTTTAAAATCAGACTGTGGGAGAGAGAGATATATCAGGGTCAGATGGGCTAAGAGATGGGGTGGATGCATAGATGGACATTTGATTTAAGGTCATTTAAGGAAAAACAAAAGCAAAGATTGAGAATTACAGAGATAATAATAAATGAATCACCTTTAGATAAGCTCCTTCTAGGAGATTTTGGAAAGATATCTTCTAATATTAGGAAAGCCGTATATTCCCTAAATCAAAATGTGAAAACAAAATCTATTAAAGAATGGGAAAAAGACATTGACAAAACGTTTTCTTTCCAGATTTGGAAAAACTCTCTTAAAATAATTGGGAAATCTATCTATTGTGTGAACATACAGGAGACCTTTTTTAAAATTATACACAGATGGCATATGGTGCCTATAAAGTTATGTAAATGTTAACCAAATACCTCTAATCTTTGTTGGAGATGTAATAGAAATGTTGGCTCACTAAAGCATATTTGGTGGGCTTGTCTTAAACTAACTCATCTGAAATTGAAAGTTAAAAAATTGACATTTCTTTAACTTTAGAGCGATTTCTTTTCCACCTTGACGTTTCTTATCTATCTAAATCCAGGCGTAGGCAACCTTCGACACTCCAGATGTTTTGGACTACACTTCCCATGATTCTTTGCAAGCATTATGGGTGTAAGAGCATTATGGGGGATGTAATCCAAAACATCTGGAGTGTCAAAGGTTGCCTATCCCTGATCTAGACCATTGTTATATCTAGTTGTTCATATTTTAAACATAAAAACATAGAATGTGACGGCAGATAAGAACCATTCGGCCCATCTAGTCTGCCCAATTTTCTAAATACTTTCATTAGTCCGTGGCCTTATCTTATAGTTAGGATAGCCTTATGCTTATCCCACGCATGCTTAAACTCCTTTACTGTGTTAACCTCTACCACTTCAGCTGGAAGGCAATTCCATGCATCCACTACCCTCGCAGTAAAGTAATACTTCCTGATATTATTTTTAAACCTTTGTCCCTCTAATTTAAGACCATGTCCTCTTGTTGTGGTAGTTTTTCTTCTTTTAAATATAGTCTCCTCCTTTACTGTGTTCATTCCCTTTATATATTTAAATGTTTCTATCATATCCCCCCTGTCTCGTCTTTCCTCCAAGCTATACATGTTAAGATCCTTTAACCTTTCCTGGTAAGTTTTATCCCGCAATCCATGAACCAGTTTAGTAGCCCTTCTCTGAACCCTCTCTAAGGTATCAATATCCTTCTGAAGATACGGTCTCCAGTACTGTGTACAATACTCCAAGTGAGGTCTCACCAGTGTTCTGTACAATGGCATGAGCACTTCCCTCTTTCTACTGCTAATACCTCTCCCTATACAACCAAGCATTCCTGCTGCTCTATTACATTGTCTGCCTACCTTTAAGTCATCAGAAATTGTCAGTTATAGCCTGACATGCATTCTGCTGTAAAAACCCACTTCCGGGTTCACGGCGCTTAGCCTCGCCCCTTTCTCTGACGCGGTCCCTCCACGATACTTAGGAAGACCGCGCCAGATTCAAAACGCTGGATTATTGCACAGGTACCTGAAAAAGTGATCAGCTGCTTTACCCCGTTCCTGCCTGTATCAGACCTCGGCTTGCTAAAAACGGACTTCTACCTTCTCCACTCCTTACCTCGGCTCACTAAAACGGACTCCTACCTTCTCCACTCCCAGACCCGGTTTGCTAAAACGGACTCCTACCTTCTCCACTCCCAGACCCGGCTTGCTAAAACGGACTTCCACCCTCTCCACTCCTAGACCACGGCTTGCTAAACGGACTTCTACCTTCTCAACCCATCGGGTGAAATTAACCCTTCAGTTCCAGAAACTGCCTTTTAAGTTAAGTAACTTTTCTCCAATCAAGCCACTCTCTGTTACAAATCATAGACAGTTAACTGTGTCATTCTCTCAATTTATTCTCCTTATTCATAAGGATCTGCTAATAACGCTAACTCTTCCTCCAATAATCAACTCAATTATAATTACAACTTCTCCTGCTTCATTAATAGTCTTTATTATAAAAATTCCTTCTTAAATTAATCTGGAATCTAACTCTGCATTATTTCCAAAAAAAGGAATTAAGTGGCTTGTGCAAATCAACAGATTCTTATACTTTACTCACAATTAACATCCTACATGTGTAATTAAAGTGACAGTAACTACTCCTTCATTTCAATATAAAAGGAGGTGAAACTAATAGTTACTGCAATTAGAAAATTCTGCAGTTGAGTTCCAATTAAAATAAGTGTTACAGGGGCGGGGCCTGGGACGGATCCCGACTAGACGCACACTCTATCAGCTCCCGCCTGTAACCAAACTCTACCGACAAAAGCCCGAACTTAACGCACAAAACTACGCCACCAACGCCACTGAACGACTTGAGGCACCGAAAAGAGCAGACAAATGCCCTTCTTCCAACCCCCGAAGACCGGGAAGACTAAACGAAAAGCCCGGGCCTACTACCAGCCAACTCTCCACACTCTGGAGACGTTCCTCTACGGCTACTGTGGACACACAGAGCAGAGAGCGGTAGGGGAGAACACCACAGCAACAGTGGATACCACAGCGACAATGACCCGTCGCTCCCAGAAGGGTAGGCAGAGCTTACCGACTGAACAACCCGACATCGGGGAACTATTGCAGCGGAAAACCCCACACAAGATGGCGGCGGGGGAGGCCTCCTCTGCACTTACGCGACCTACTCCAATGGCGCAACCACAAGAAGCCTCCGCAACCGAGGCACTGCCTGTACCACCAGCCCGACCACAAGCAGCACCAACGGACGGGCTCAGAAGGGCCACACTCCCAACCCTTCCAGAAAATCCCGCAGAAACCGGGGACCACACTCTAGCCACGAAACAGGACCTCCAACGCTGGATGCAGGAACTCCAGGACCTAATAGCCACAGATATAGGCACCATAAAGGCAGAGGTCCGGCAAAACACGGCCAGGGTAGCCACGGTTGAAGAAAACGTAGCTCAGGTAACAAACGAAATGTCCCATCTCAAACAATCCCTGCAAGATATGCGAACAACCCAACAGGCACTTACGGTGCAGCTATCTGCCCAAGGAGACCTCCTGCGGCGCAACCACATTAAGCTCCGGGGGGTGCCCGCAGCGGTTTCCCAGGCAGAAATACCTCACTTCATCAGACGGCTCTTGAGCACAATTTTACCACCTCAAACAGCCCGAAAAATCACACTGGAAAGCACATACCGCCTGCCAGCTGGGCCCAACTCACCATCCACAGGGGCACGAGACGTCATTCTGTGCTGTACCACGACACAAGATAAAATCAACATTCTGACGGCAGTAAAAGGCAAGACACCCTTGCAGTTCGAAAACGCCCAGCTGTTGTTCTTCCAAGACCTGACACGAGCAACATTGCAATGGAGGAAATCGATGTACAACCTAACCAGCCGCCTGAGAGCAGCGGGAGTGCAGTACCGATGGGGAGCACCTAGGATCATAACGGTCACACACAACGGCAACACTTACAAAGTCACGTCGGAAGCCGAAATCCCTGCACTTCTAGGGACTTTAGGACTCACGGACACTCACGGAACTATGGGCACGAATAACCCTCCACAGATGGGGGATCCCGCCACGGTGAACTCGTTCGTACCTCGACCCTCGGGAAGTATACACACCCCTCCCTGATGGAAACCTGTACTCCTCCAACGGTCAAACAGGACACAGCCCTATCCAACAGGGCGATAGTTAACCATGGATATAATAGTTGGCTTGTTTCCAAGTTGTTCAGTATTAATATATAATAATTTTTTTTTTTTTTTTTCTCACTGTACCCCTCAAATGGTCAAACAGGACACAGCCCTATCCCACAGGGTAATAGTTCACCATGGATATAATAATTGGCTTGTTTCCAAGTGGCTCAGTATTATTATCTAAAATTATTATTATTATTTTATTTTTTATTTTTTTTTGGTCTCACTTATTTATGTTGGTATGTGCTCTCAAAGTCAAGTCGGGCTCATCAGCCAACACATAGGCTCAGAGGAAACACGAAC